TTTATTGAGCTCTCGTATCTCTTTGTTCTCTTTGATTGATGGAATTGGTATTAATAAATATATTCCCAGCTAACAAAATTGTAACGTTTTTTATCCATTTTAACGCTGAAAAATGTAACGTTTTGACCCGTTTTGGTGGTTATTTTCGTGTAAAATTGAAGGTTAATCAACCTTCAGATAGGCATACAGATTCCGCATTGTACGGCATAATGTGAACCCGACTCAATACAACGTTAAGTTTTAATTTTGTTTTCCAATTCTAATTATTCGTTTGACGCAAATAAAAAAGAGACAATTTGTATACATAGAGATTTGTGTGATTTGATTTTAGTTTCGGTAACAGAATTTTTTCAAACATTTATTATTGCAATTATTTTTTTTATTCCATGCCATGAATGCAAATTCGAACTTCGAATTCGAAACTTATTTGAATATGTGTGACATTTTACAGTTGGCTGCGGTGTGTGTCACATCGACGGCGAACATCATTTGTTTACATTCAAAAAAATCTCCTCGTAATCATCGTGCATCGCATCACATCGTCACAGTCGTTTCATACAATCGGTTTCTTTCTTGGAATTTTAATATAGAGGATTTGTGTTTGCAAAGAATAGATTTATTTACGCCTGCATTTTGTGATTGTTTTTGTTTTTATACAAATAACACAACATTCACAAACTAAAGACGTGAGGAATCGAAATTCATCATTAAATCATTTGTGTCAGTCGTACGATCGAAAGAGTGAACTTGTTGTGAATGTTGCATCAGTGCGACATTGGTTCTTAAAACAGCGCGTTGGGTGTAATAAATAAGTGCTGAATATCATAACGAAATCAAATAAAATTTGGGGTGCTCCACATTTGATCAATGCATTTATTATTTGGATTTTTGTTGTTAGTTTGAAGTCGGATTCGATTCTGATTTTCGAATAGGCGAATATTTGCACTACGACGACATCAAATTTGTCATCTGAATTCAGTTTAGCGGAATTCATTGCAACGGTAAGATGATCGTCTCTTTGTCCAGCATATATTTGTTTATCATTTTGTGCTGAATCGTGTATTTTTTGTTCAAATGAAATTATTAAGTGTTTTAAGTCAAGTTTATGCAATTATTTAATGCAATTTTTGTTACTTTTTCTTCTTTTTCGATACAGTGAAAACACTTTCGTCGACATGAAGCGAAAACGTGCACTCAATGGAAATTTCAAGAATGTCAAGTTGACATTGAATCAATGCTTGCGCCCTGAGTACCGAGAAGCGGTTCTGAACTGGACAATTTACTGGTGTGAAACAGCTACGGTCATTTCGGTTTTAGCATCTTTGTTGGTTTTATTTGAAGTCAACAAAGCCTTTGACGAAGATAATCAAGGATTTTTTGCCGGAAATGGGTACAAATTGATTGAAAAATGTTTCACATCTGTTTTGAATGAGCACAAGCACAAATTGCCGCTCGAGTTCAGACAAATAATTGAAAGAGTCGTCCGAAATTTTCAATGGCCATTGCGTGCAGGCATGGGAAACGCTTTTAATGAACTCTTCAAACAATACACGACCAATTTGAAAAACAACATCAAGGTTTGGAGTTACAGTCGCATACGTAAGTTTTTCGTATTGAAGCGTTTTGAACTGAATTTAGTGCTTGGTAACAATATCACCGAAATCGATGTAAAAAACGCCACCAAATCGGTTATGTTCAACAACATTATGAGAACTAGTGCGAATGTGAATCTGCTTTTGGATCAAGCGAAATTGATCGGAATACCAGTTGGCGAGAAATTCCATGATCGGGTTAAAGAACACTGGTTTCAAACCATTCCGGTATTCATTCATATTCAACGGCAAATTTTTGATCATCATGTCAGATATACCTTGTTGAATGAACAATGGCGGCAGTACTGGCGAGATAGGAAAGCCAAAAACGAATTGCACGGCCACCATATATCAAGAACTTTCGAGTCATTCCATTGCACGATTTCGAAATGAAACACATTCGAATCGATTTCCACCTTTTTTATGAATTTGCGCGCAAACTGGGTGCATTGAAGTTGACAAAAGGATGGTTTGGACAACCGAAAAGTATCTCAAAGGAAATGTACAGCGACGATCCAGCTACATATTGGGATAAAATCTTCAATATGCCGAAGATTCTGAAAATCGGCAGTGGCAAGGCGTTTGATTATGCAATTCTCACCGACAGTGTTGCAATTTCATTGTGTTTTGTCAAACCAGAACGGCCAATAATCGAATTAACCAATGAGCAAATCAATGATAAATTCAACAACAATGAATTCAAATTTGTGCTAGGAATGGATCCAGGTGTTCGCACATGGAATGCGACCGTACGCAAGCACATAAAATCTGGCATCGAGGTATTAAGTACAATTTGTTCATTGTTTGTGATTTACAATCACATCATCTGTTTAACTCATATAACAATTCTTCGATTGTTTATTTCTCACATAGGAAAACATCACAATCGACGGTCCGAAATACCACTGGCATGCCAAGTATGGAAAACGTAAGCGCAAAATCGACAAATTGATTGAAGAATTCACCAAATTGGAACAAGACGATCGCAAGCGATATGCATTTTATCCATCGGCCAAAGGACGTTCACATTGGATGTGTTACATCGAACATCGTGTGAAAATGATGCAACGAGGAATGTCGGTGTATTCATCTCGAAAATATCTTCGACAGCGATTGGACAAGTACATCGAAGAAAATCGTGCTTCCGATCTGATTGCAGCATGGCTTACGTTGAAAAAGGCATGCTTGATTTTCATTGGTGCAGCGCAGATGGCCCCCAATTCACCGATTGGTATCAAGAAGCGATTGCGATGCCCAGGTGTACGTCGATTGGTACGAAGCTTCAACAAGTTGGGAAATTGCATCATACGGTATGTGGATGAATTCAATACATCACAAACATGTGGCAAGTGCTTTCGCCCATTCGATCGAAGAACGAAGAAGGACAGATACAAAGTGTGTCAACATTGTATACCAAGTGGTGAAGTGACAAACATTTGGCTACTGGGAAAAACCGTGATCAGCAAGAAAAGCAATCGAGAATACCAACAACAGCGCCAAAGTGTAAAGGTTGATGTTCAACGACGCAATCAAGATCCAAAAATGTCATATGGTTTAGTGTCCAAACTTACTATAAGTTTCAAAAAATGGCGTCTAAACGATGACAACGAATGGATCGATGATCGTCATCCACATCAACTGAAAACTGTTTGGCATCGCGATATTGTCGCAGCTGTTTGCATTTTATACAAAGGTATTGTACTACAGATTAAAAACAATGAATCAATTATTTTGTCTTTTAACAATTGTTGCTTATGATTTCGACTATAGGTCTTTGTATTGTGCAAGGCATAGATGTGCATCCGCAGCTATCGAGAGAACACCGCGAACAACAAGCACAAAATCATGGAAATGATGTAGAAAATGCTGTTAATGCCGATGATAGCGACAGTGACGACGATTACGTGCTCGAAGTTGCCGATGATGAATAGTTTTTAAGTCGATGTAGGATTAAGATAAAATTAAACAATAATACTTGTAACGTTTTGTTACTTAGCTGGGCTTGAATATTGTGGCCTTGGTGCTGTACGGGACTCATATGAGGCACACTAAAATTTATCCCGTA